TTTTCACGTAACGGGGCGGGGGGGGGTGAGCCCTGGCCACGGGGCATGCTCAGGCGCGGATGCCGTGCTGCCCCATGCCTCAGTTTCCCCAGCCGGGGCTGGGGAGGTGCACAGGAGCAGGAGGGGAACCAGCAGTGCTTTGTCCCCAGAGAACGCCCTGCGGAGCCTGCTGGAGGCCCTCACCAGCCCCCCGTACGCCCCAACCCAGCACCTCGAGCGGGAGCAAGCCTTAGCCAAACAGTTTGCCGAGATCCTCCACTTCACCCTCAGCTTTGATGAGCTCAAGGTACCTTCCCGTGCCCCCCGGGTGGGACGAGGGCTGGGGGGAGCCCACGGGGTCCCCACACTGGGACCACGCAAAAGCTGTGAGCCAGCGTGGTCCCTTGGGCCCCCTGAGGCTCGCCCCGGGCACACCGAGCCGGCCGTGGCCCCCACCCCGGCCCCTAACGCTGGACTCCCCTCCGCAGATGACCAACCCCGCCATCCAGAACGACTTCAGCTACTACAGAAGGACCATCAGCCGAAATCGCATTAACAACCTGCAGGTGAGAGGACGATGCCATTCCCCCAGCCCCGGGGTGGCCTCCCCCAGGGGTCACAGGACTGGGGACGGCTTGGGGGAGGGGACAGCCACCCCAACGGCCCCCATCATCCCACCCCGCAGCTGGACGCGGAGAGCGAGGTGAACAACGAGATGGCCAACAGGATGTCCCTCTTCTACGCCGAGGCCACCCCCATGCTCAAAACGCTCAGCAATGCCACCACCAAGTTCGTTTCGGAGGTGAGCGAGGCCGGGGGGGACCCTCGGGGCGGGGGGAAGCCCCCCTCCAGCCCCGGCACCATGCGGGGCTCAGGAGGGGAGAAGGGCAGCTGGGACCTGTTGGATTTCAGAACAAGACCCTCCCGATCGAGGACACGACCGACTGCCTGAGCACCATGGCCTGCGTCTGCAGGGTGATGCTGGAGACGCCGTGAGTACCCTGCAGGGACGGGGGGCACCTGGGTGCCGGGGTCCCTCTGCCGCCCACCCGGGCTCAGCCGGCCCCTCTCCTGGTGCAGGGAGTACCGGAGCCGCTTCACCAACACCGAGACCCTCCTCTTCTGCATGCGGGTGATGGTCGGCGTCATCATCCTCTACGACCACGTCCACCCTGTGGGGGCCTTCGCGAAGACCTCCAAGATCGATGTGAGTGGCCGTGGGGGGTCACAGCCGTCCCGCTCATCCCAGGGCAGCTGTGATGCCTGGGGGTCCCTCTCCCTGGATGTCCCCTGTGGGGACATCTCTGTCTGAGCTGGTCCAGAGGGGAACTTAACTCCCAAGCATCGAGGAGGAGGATGGGGAGGAAGGGGAGCAGCTCCCTGCGGCACATCCAGGCGTTCACTGCCTCTCTCGCTCCCCCCACCAGATGAAAGGCTGCATCAAAGTCTTGAAAGACCAACCCTCAACCAGCACCGAGGGGCTCCTGAACGCACTGAGGTGAGCTGGGGGAGCGGGGGACCCGGCGGGGACCCGGCATCCCCCGCCGGTGCTGTGGGATGGCGGCGGTGGAGCGGGTTGGGGTGCTGCGGGGTGACCGTCCCCTCTCCGTCCAGGTACACCACTCGGCACCTCAATGATGACACCACGTCCAAACAGATCCGGGCCCTGCTGCAGTGAGCGCGGGGTGGCTGCCAGAGCCACCCCGACCTCGCGCACGTCACCGCGTCACCTACGCCCATGACCATACCGCTCATTTTGTACAGAGGGAAAAGGGACAATAAGAAATACACAGAAATACAGAAAAAAAGTCGAAATGGCCCGAGGCCACCCCCCCACACACACTCCTGCCCCCCTTTCCCACCCCCCAAATCAGCACCCAATTACTGGACACAAGGTGCGGGTGGCACCGCGGGGACACCGCGCCGGGGGTGCTGGGGCCGGGCAGGATGGACCCAAGCAGGGATGTGCCGATGGGGCCGGTGGCAGCAAGCACCCACAGCACGGGGGCACCCCGGGGAGGGGGGAAAGGAGCAAGTGTCCCCTCCGTCCCCATCCTCGTCCCCGAGCATCCGGCTGCGGAGGAGGAGGAATAAACATCCCTGCAGATCTGCACTGACTCTGGTGGAAGCGGCTCAGTCTCACCTGGTAGATTTTTAATATGAGCAATTAAATCTCCACTCACCTCTTCTTTTCTACATTTTTTTTTGGGTGTGAAATAAAAATGACATTTAATCTGTTCGTGGCCAGAGCGGGGCCGTCTCTGCTGCGTCCTACCCCGTGCCGCACCGGCTGGAGGCACCCGGATCACCGTGCCCGGCCCTTGCAGGCTCCGTGGCCCCATCCGTGACACCCCAGGGACTGAACCCCCCGGGGACTGAACCCCCCCAGGGACCACGTCCCCCCTCGGTGACGCCCTGGGGCCCCATCTCCCAGCCACGTCTCAGCCCCACCGTGACGCTGCCGGTGACCAGGAGCTCCTGGAGGGACTACGGCCCAGGGCTGACCTCCAGGGTGCCCCCCCTATGGTGGGGCCACCCCCCCCAGCTGCCTCCGAGCCAGTCCATCCAGGGCACCCTCCTACCCCAGTGTCCCAGCAGCTGCAGGCTGGGAGGACTGGGAGGCTGCTGGAGGCCATGGCGGACTGCCACGGGCCCGTGCCTTTGCCGGCAGATGGCCCTGTGACACCGTGACAAAGCAGCCCCAGCGGCCCCCACTCGTGCCAGCCCCACCGTGGGGGGCCCCACTCGACCTCGGCCCCCCACCCACAGCCCCCCAAGCTTGGGGAGGCCCCGACAGGCACCCTGCAGCGCAGGGCTCCGTGCCAGCCCTTGGCAGGGGCTGCATCACCCCACCACGGGGCCACCCCAGGGCCCCCCCCG